ATGACAAATGTAAATCATGGTATACCTACACAATAAAAAATTACGGCAGTTCAAAGTTTATTCCTGAATCTTATAGCTAAAAGGAAATATAAGAATACAACTTCATTTCCCTTCACAATCTTCTGAATATATATGGATAAAAACAAGAAGAGACCATGAAATAATTTTAATAGTTGTTTAGGAGAAGCAGAAATATGAGTAATTTTCTTTATACAGCCATGTCTCTTAATCATTAAAAAACTTATTTTCCTGGCCAGGTTTGGTGGCTCAGCCTAGGACTTTGGGAGGCTGAGGCGAGTGGATTGCCTGAGGTCGCGGGTTCGAGACCAGCCTGGGCAACCTGGCAAGACCTTGTCTCTACAATAAATAAAAAATCAGCCAGTTGTAGCAGTGTGTGCCTGTAGTTCCGGCTACTTGGAAGGCTGAGGTGGGTGGATCGCCGGAGTCCAGTAGGGTGATATGTACTGGGTGGTGAGTATGCCATAGCACTCCAGCCTGGGTGACAGAGTGAGACTCCAACTCAAAAAAAAAGCCAGGCTCGGTGGCTCAGCCTGTAATCCCATGCCTTTGGGAAGCTGAGGTGAGTGGACTGCCTGAGCCCACGGGTTGTTAAACTGAACACATAAAAAATATTATTCTGAAGGTAAAGTATTAAAATAACTTTTTCATACATATTCACTCAGGAGAGATTCTCAATTAGACACAGTACTATACCTGCATAAATATTTTATGCTAAAACTATTTATCAAATTGGATATTCTGATTTCACTGATTCATTTTAGTGGTTTAAATTAAAAATAAATTATTCCTTTATATACATAAATGTACAAATGGAATAACAAATACATAACTGATATGTACGTTTTATACCCCTTTTTCTAGTTATGCTAGTAGCTATGGAGGGCTTTTTTACTATTTGCATATAAGGTTTTTTACTATTTGCATGTAAGGTCACATTATGGTAGACAATATAAAAACCAAAACTGCATTAATTGATATCATTACCAATCTTATCAGAAAAATTCCTAAGTATTGAGAAGTTGTCAAGCTGAAGGTAGTGAATACAACTTTTCCAAAATTTTACTATTCACTTGAAAGTTCAAATTTTATCATTAGCAACAACTACTGGCAGTAGTTTCCCTTGAATTGATAAACAATTTATTTTCAAAAACATGCTGGCTACACACTCAAGCCTGAATAATCATTGTTTTGTTCTTGTTAGTTGTAAAATAGTGTTCCAAACACACAACCCAAACAATGGCATACGTACTCTTCCTCAAAGCTATCATTATATTTTGGTATGCAGCAGAAGTGCTTTATACAGTCTCTCCATTTGTCATATAGAGTATTAAAGATATGTGTACTCAAGGATGGAGATAAACTAATCAAGGATACTTTAAAGTGAAACTGGCTTTTTAAAAAAAAAAATTCTAAGTGCCTAACAGGGATGAATACAATGATTACTAATACAGTTTGGTGTCACTGCCTTGATTCATCTAAAGGTGCCAGCAATTTTACCTTCCATGTTTTTGTACTATCACTGCAAATGTCAACACAGTAATAAAGGCAAATAACATCTTGGTATTATTATAAAAATAGTTTTGACTTCATGTTCTCTTTGAAACAGTCTTGGGATCTGGGGGTCCTCAAGAATACATGTTAAGAGTCACTGGACTAAATTACTTTTTATATAATGTTTTCCAATTATATAAAGTATATTTGTAAATTACACTATAAATGGTTAAAAGTACTTTTCCGTTTGGTTTCTTTTATGTTAAAATATACATTTTACCTTCGGAATAGTAACATTTAAATATACTTTACACTAGAATTCTAAGTAAAGTTTAATTAATCATATACAAGAACTTGATATTAAACATTACTGAAGTGTTCAATATTAGGAGGCTAAATCAACAGTTTTATAATTTCACTGAAAATGCTCAACTTAAATAAATAAAACAAAAAGGTCATGTTAGAAAGCCTTAATGGGTTAAGCAATCAATAGCTAATCTATTAAGAATAATACTGAGTACTGTAGTTGTGATATTTATAAACTGGCGAAGATGAGTTTAATAATAGCAGTATGAGTTTTAAACGTAATTTGTAGGAATCTCAGAGAGCAGGAATTATACTTCAGGTCAGAGAAGTTGGGGATGAATTTATTAATAAGGCAGAAACTGAGTCAGAATTTAGACAGGTAATTGGAAAAGAGTCATTTGAGAATCAAGGAGCCAACAGGAATAAAGCTAAGGGAGTAGCATTCCTAAAAGTGGGAAAGCAGGAGGGAAATCAATCAACCAGTATGAATGACAAGATCATGTTAGAGAGTAATGAAAGACTTGGCTAATGGGGTAGAATGAGGGCAGAAGTAAAGAGAGTTTTGGAAGCTAAATAGAATAATGCAGATAATAGTGCATTGTTAGAACTTTCTTAAGAGAGAAAGAACATTGAAAGGCTATACTTTAGGAGGATTAATCTAGACATAGGATTATAAGAGGAACAGACATGTAAAAAGACCATTTAGGAGCCAAAGTACTTTAGTATTAGGAGCAGGGGTTAAGAGTGAACTAAGCTTGGGGCAATGGGAATGGAAAAAAGTAAATCCAAGTGCAAGACTTCGAGGAACTTAGTACTAGTAGTAGGTTAGGCAAAAAAGAAGGGTAACTCAAGGACAAATTGAAGATATTTAGGATTACAGAGGTAAGTACTAAACATTAGCAGGTGTACAGAGGTAAGAACATTAACAAGTGTATATTATATTTTAGATGGCATAATAGGTATTTAATACATTAATTGATTAATTGTCCTATGAGCTCTGTGAGACAAATATCCAATATACAGATAAATCCAGAATGACTGAGTAACTTGTTCTGCCAACAAGTGGCTGAGGCAGTCCTGATACCTAGGTTAGAAATTAAAGAGGCTGTACAGCACAGGGGTTAAGAGCTTGAAGTCTACAGTCATCTGCTTGGGCAATTAGCTTGGCCACTTACAAGTTGTGAGAGTTTTGACAAGTTGCTTAACCCTATTGTGCTTTAGTTTTCTCACCTATAAAACACAGACAATAAACTGCATCATAGAACTGTAGTGAGGATTGAGAGAATGCATGTGGAGCGCTGTTAACAGTGCTTAGAAAATAGTAAACTTTCAATAAACATTTGCCACTGTTACATCAACAAATATGCTGGTGTCATTAACACAGGGAAGATCCAGTTTTGGCAGAAAAAATGCAAAATTTCAAACAAAGTCGGGGATTACTTTTAAGTAGGTATTTTTAGATAAATGAAAATAAAAAATAAATGTAAAAAATGAGGTAACAGAAATACCTTTTAAGTCAAGATAGAGTTGATAAAGTTATGAGCCTGGATGATATAAATTACTTATAGAATTTTTCTCATTCATAAACTCTGGTTGAAAAAATATTTCCTTTTGTAATGATTTTATGAAAACTTCTATTTACTCTGTGTAAGATACTATGTTAGATGCTAAAAGTACAAAGAAGGTACCTTTAAAAAGTTATAATATAGGTAGGGACAAAGAAGATATACAAAACTGTAGAATACAATAGGTAGCATATAGCAAAAAAGGGAGGCAACTGAAAAAGAGCCATAGATGTTAACAACAACAACAAAAAATTGAGGTTCCTATGCGTTATGACAATCTAAGAAGATAGATGTGGCACACACAGGATCCTGAAGGGGAGTAAAATTCATGTAAGAGAAAGGTGAGACTGCAATGGGCAAAAGGGACACTTGTGACCAAGAGAGCAGCATGAACATGGCAGACAGACACCCATGGCACTTTTGGAGATACCAAAAAGAGCAGCTTAGCTTGAACAACAATTTGTACACAGAAGAAACAGAAAAAAGGCTGAATGTTGTTTTTTTGGTCAAGTTCTAAAGAGTGTTTAATCCTGTTTTTAGAATTACATTTCACTGTGTAAGCAAAGAATTGTTTTTTTCTTTTTCTTCAAGCATCAGACTTCTATGTCTACTCAACATCTAAAATAATCAAACTTGTATAAAACTACTATTCTCTTTTGTTCCTTTTATAAGCTAGCAAATATCAAATGCAATTTCCATGTGATTAGGTAAAAATCTTTACATAAATATATTTGCTATATCACTAATGATTTCTTGTTGAAGAGATAGTTTTAAAAGTTTCTTAGAGCCGGGCTCGGTGGCTCAGCCTGTAATCCGGCGCCTTTGGGAGGCTGAGGTGAGTGGATTGCCTGAGCCCGCGGGTTCAAGACCCGCCTGGGCAGCGAGACCTCATCTCTACAATAAATCAAAAAATCAGCTGGGCGTGGTAGCGCATGCCTGTAATTCCGGCTACTTGGAAGGCTGAGGCGGAAGGATCGCTGGAGCCCAGCAGGTCGAGGCTGCAGTGGCCGGAAGTGGCCACTGTACTCCAGTTTGGGCGACAGAGTGAGACTCCAACTCAAAAAAAATAAAAAAAGTTTCTTAGCATTTTCAGTTTAAGAAAATGTTTTGTTTTTAGAAAAGTGTTTTCAAGTAACTGAACCTCATTAGAAGAAAAGAAACTCAAACCTGATCATAACTGGACTCAGCAAATGCACCTGTTTTCCAACTTGAAATAGCTAATCAGAACTTAGAACTCTGCCTCTGGCACTATTCCCTGAAATTTTTTTGATAGCTGACAAGTACTTTTCTTGAATTGAAACGTTATAAATCAAGTATTGTATTATCAAGAATTCATACTATGAAACATGTTCAGGTTCTGAACATATTTATAGCAACAAGAATATGTAAACCAATCTCACGATTAAAACTTTTGGTCTATTTTAGGTATAATAAAGAAAATAATACTAAGTCATAATAAACAAAAATCACCCCAAATAATTTAGGCAACTTTGGTCTCAGAAAGTTTAATTCACTACAACACTATATAATATGCACATATCTGTATGTATTTTCAAAGACACAATTTTTTTTACTCTTTCACCAATTTGTTATCAATTGGTTTACAGTAATACTTACCCTAGTATTCTATTCATTCCATGCCTAGCAGCATAGTGCAATGGAGTATTGTGCTGATAGGGTTCCCCATAAGATGTATTTGGATCAAGGGACTCTTTTAGCTGAGGGTTGTTTTCATATATTTGGCAGGCCAGATTTTCATCTCCATTGATGAGTGCTTTGCGGAATTTGGTGGTTGTATTTCCCATGTTTTGTTTTGTTTTGTTTTTTCCTGATAGGCAGTGGCACTTTTTTCCTTCTCCCTTCAGTCACTTCTTGAATGCTTCTGCGACATGTTTCACATTCTAGTGGAAGAAAAGTTATTCAAATTAGACTGTAAAACAATAATGAAGAAATATCCTAAAGAACAAACAACCCAATTAGGAACACAAATGAAATCTGGGAAGCATATGTAAGGGAATAAACTATATTAAATTGTACCAAATTTATCTTAATAGTCCCCCCCAAATCTCAAAATTTTAACATTGTCTAAGTTAACTTCTTGTTAAACTGTAACAGTTCCTACACAGAGACTATTAAGGTTTCACAGACTGTACACTGCACTGTAAAATTTATCTACATATAACTTTTTAATTTTCCTCTACATGAGGGCAGGAAGTGGGCTTGGATGAATTTTATGTTGAATATTCTTAAATTTCTATATAAATTATACAAGGACATCAGAGAAAAGACTTAAAATATAAATATATAGGACCATACAACTCACTGATATTCAAAGCAAACTAGTAAAACTGATTATACATAGAACAATGGACAATGATTATTCTATTTTTAAGATCATTAAGTTCTTTCTACTACAAATAATTCAAAACAAAGCGGAAAACATGAAATGTTTATGCATACTATGTTTTTTAAAATTTTATTTTTATTATTTTATTTTTTTGGGTCAGGGTCTCACTCTGTTGCCCTGGCTGGAGTGCAGTGTCACAATCACGGCTCACCTCTGCCTCAGCCTCCTATACTCAGGCAATCCTCCTGCCTCAGTCTCCTGAATAGCTAGGACTATAGATATGCATTACCATGCCCAGCTAACTTTTGGATTTTTTTTTGTAGAGGGGAGGTCTTACTATGTTGCCTACCCTGGTGCATGATATGTTTGGAAAGAGGTTATGATAATGATCATGTGGGCATTTACTACTGAAGCAAGGTGAAGTGTGTGAGGAAGGTCATAGAAACAAACAGCGGATGTGGAATTCAAAATGCCATTTGACTACACTAGCTGTATGATTCCAGGCAAGTTATTCATTTCTTAAAAACCTCAGTTTCCCATCTGTACAGCAAGGAAAACAATCATTTCTTAGGCATGGCTATGAGGATTGTAATAGCTACTTTATTTAAAGTATGCAGTATAGTTCTTAGTTAATGTGTTCAATAAATGCTGTTTCGTTCTATTCCAATAAATGTTGTTTCTGAATCTATTACTGAACTATGATTGAAAATTAGTGACAACAGCATATTCAAAGGCAGGTATGAAAAAAAGGCCTAAGCAAGGAATGATGAGTATGAATGGGGTTCAGAGGTTCTAGCATTGTACTTACAGGAGATACAGTTGAAAATAAGTTGGGGCCAGGTAAGGAAATTATACTCTAACCTGAAAAGAAGAGATAATTAAAGGCTTTTATGCAGGGCAGTGATATAATTACTTCATGCTTTAGATTTTTTTTTTTTGAGTCGGAGTCTCACTCTGTCGCCCAGGCTGGAGAACAGTGGAACAATCATAGCTCACTGCAGCTTGACTTCCTGGGCTCATGCGAGCCTTCTATCTCAGCTTCCTGAGTAGTTGGACTACAGGCACATGCCACCATGCCCAAGTATATATATATATTTTAAATTTGTAGAGATGAGGACTCGCTATGTTGCCCAGGATGGTCATGAACTCCAGGTCTCAAGTGATCCTCCTACCCCAGCCTCCTAAAGTGTTGGGATTACAGGCATGAGCCACCGTACCTGGTCTTAGAAAATTAACTATTGTGACAGTGTAGAAGATAGAATGGAGGGAGGAAAACACATAGGCAGAGAATACAAGAGCCTATCATGTTACCCAATCAATTCAGTGGCAGGCTGGACACTAAAACATAGCTTTAAAAAACATGTGAAGGGCATGATGGTGCACAGCTATATTCCCAGCTATTTGGGAGACAGGCGGGAGGATCACTCCAACTCAGGAGTTTGAGACCAGTCAGAAACACAGCAAGATCCCATCTCAAAAGAAACAAACAGGGTGAAAATATTTTTTATACCTAATGTCATGCCCAAGGGTTATGGAACAAAACCATGTCTGAAAAGAAGTTGAAGGGAAATGCATCCACTGAAGGCAACTTTTTGTCCTGTAGAATCTGGGCCCCTCGAGCCCATGTCCTGAGCTCCTAAATTACGGGTCAGGCTTGGCTCACTCTTCCACACTTCCCAAAACCAAATCCCACTTCCAGTTTGGAATTACTGCCTCTCCCACTCCTCCCCTCTCTTCCTAGTGTCTCTCAATTGCGCGCGCGCACACACACACACACACACACACACACACACACACACACACACAAACGCACACACTCACACACCACTCATCCCCACACCACACACTTTGCCTGGTTTGAGATCAGGTACTCTTATTGATATTGTGCCCCTTCTCCCAATCCTTTTTATTATGTAGTAGTCCATTGTATGGATTACCATTATTTGCTTAACCATCCATTTATGGAAGAACATCTTGGTTGTTTCCAGTTTAAGGTAATTATTAGTATGGCTGCCGTAACATTCACATATAGGTTTGAGTGAATGTAAGTTTTGATTTCTCTTGGGTAAATATGCAAGAATAGGATATTTCTGGACATATAGTAAGTCATATGTTTAATTTTATAAGAAACCATCCAACTGTTTTCAGAATAGATGTACCAGTTTTCATTCCCATCAACCATATATAAAAGCAGTGGTGCTGAATCCTAGTCAGCATTTGGAATTGTCAGTTTTTAGGTGGGTTGGTAGCCATTCTAAGAGATGTGTGGTGGTATCATACAATGGTTTTAATTTCCATTTCCCTAATGACTAATAATGTTGAACATGTTTTCATATACTTATTTGCCATGCATATATCTTGGTTTGTAAAGTGTCTACTTAGATCTCTGCCCACTTTTAACATGAAGTATTACTGAATTTGAGTTCCTTATATATGCTGTTAAAAAAAGTCCTTTTTTAGAAATGTGACTTGCAAATATTTCTTCTAGTCTGTAGGCTTTTCATTCTCTTAGCACTATTTTTCACAGACCAAAGTTTCAATTTTGATAAAGCCAAATTTTTCAACTGTTTCCCTTTCTATAAACTACTGGAATCCTTAGTAAAACTCTTTGCCTAACCCAGATCACAGAGATTTTCTCCTATTCTTTTCTTTAGAAGTTTTATAGTTTCAAGTTTTATTTATGTATATGATTCATTTTGAGTACATTTTTGTATATGGTGTTTGTGTACTGACATTCAATAGTTCCAGCACTATCTGTTGACAAGATGGTCCTTTCTCCTTTGAGTTGCCTTTGCATCTTTGTCAGAAACCAATTGACTGTATTTGTGTGAATCAATTTCTGAGCTCTATTCTGTTCTATTTCTCTATGTGTCTATCTTTTCAGCAATACTATACTGTCTTGATTACTGAGAGAACAGATGTCTTAACAATGCTGACTCTCCTAATCCATGAACTTGGTATTTCTATTTATTTATGCCTATGATTAATTTTCAATGAAAGTTTTATAGTTTACATGATATAAATGGTACACATATTCTGTTAGATTTATACCTAAATATTTTCTGGGAGGTGCTATTATAAATGATACTTTAAAAACATTAAATTTCGAGTGTTCATTTATAGTATACAGATATACAGCTGAATTTGTATTCTGCAAACCTGCTAAATTCACTTATTAGTTCTAAGAGTTTTTTTTTTAAACTAGGTTTATTGGGGGAGATTTTCTAAAGTAGACTTACATCATCTATGAATAGAGACAGCTTTATTTCTTTCTTTTAAATCTGCATGCCTTTTCTTTTCTTTCTTTTTTTTTTTGGCTTTACTGCGGTAACTAGATGGCTTTTAAAATTAGTGGGTATAAGTTTGAGAAAAAACAGTATATTTGTATAGATTCAAAACCTATTCCCCAAGATATTTCATAAGTATAAAGTAGAAAGTAGCAATTTTACAGTGGAGAAACACGGGAAATATCATCTTAACCAAATGATCAAGGTTAATGCGACCTGTAACATATTGACATAATGTACTCCATGCTAATGCACTAAAATAGGCGTTTAAATTCTACAGTATTTTTGTGGGGAAAAAAAAAACAATCTAAATATGAGAAAATATCACAGAAACTCAAATTGAGACATTCTACAAAATAACTAGCCAATACCCTTCAAAAGTGTCAATAGTCATGAAAGATGCGAAAAGACTGCACAACTGTTCACAGACAATTAAATGGCATTAGGATCCTAGAATGGATTTTGGAATGGGAAAAAAGACATTCAAGGAAAACTGACACCTAAACAAGGTATATGGTTTAGTTAATAGTACTGTATCAATGCTAATTTCTTAGTTTTGGTAAATTGAATCAAGATTATGAAAGACGTTAACATTAGGGTGAAGAGTAGACAGGAACTCTCTGTACTATGTTCGCAAATTTTTTGTAAGTCTAAAATTACTTAAAAATAAAAGAATGAACAAAATGTTTAGCTCCTATATTGGGAAGAGACCATAGGAAAACATGAATTGAAACAGGAAAAACAAATTTGGAGGCTACTAAGGTATCCCAGGCAACAGAAAATGGTTTCCTGGATTGGAACCGTAGCAACTGAGCAGCTTGGATTCTGGATACATTTTAAACAGTATTTACTCCAAGACTTAAAGCTTTAGAAATACAGCAATATGGATTATTAATAATAAAATAAAGTTACAAATGGAATAAAAAAGGACAATGTTCTAAATTCACAAACTGTTGAAGGACTAGTTGTCCACTGGAAAATACATAGAAAGGTCACTCCAAGAAAAACTAATGCTACTTACTACTATTTTTAGTACCAAACATCTAACCTCTAGGCAATACTTAGCAGGGCCATGTGTAAATTACAAGGTCTACTGGGCCCTCTAGTCTAGATTTTTCTGACGGTGAGAAAAAAGCAGAGAAAGAGAGGAAGCAAAAAGGAAAACAGATGCTAGAATCCAGATTCAGTATGTATAGCTTCTACGAAAAGGTACAAATCCTAGTACTCAGGTCCAACTTAAAACGTCTTACTGAAAAACAGTGTTAAG